AATGAATTGTGCCCAATTTGTTCACCTTTTTTTTTGCTACGGTTGCTAAGTAAGTCACTGCAGTTGTTCAGTGGATCATGTGATTGTTAGGCTGATCCATCTCCCCCCTTTCTTTGTCGGAACCCAACTGGGAAGGTCATAAATGGTGATCACATGACCCCAGGATGCTGCACCTGTTGTAAATACATGCTGATTGTCAAATGCCTGAGTTTTGATCATGTGACTGTGGGGATACTGGGGTGGTTATAGGTGGTAAGTAGGCATAAATCATTTTTTTCAGTGTCATTATAACTTCAAATAGTTGCTAAATAAATGGTTGTAAATTGAGGACTAGCTGTATGTTATACATACATTACTTTATATATTGCCGGTTGTTTTTTTAAATTTCACATTTCTCTCTTTTTGAGGATCGGGTAATTTCATCCGATCACAACTTCCTTGGTTTTACCTTCCTCTTGGCTATTTACTCTTTCTGCATATATTTGTTTTGCAATTTGGTCCTCATTCATTCTACATACTCCTTTTCTACCGTTACTCAGTTTTGTATTTTATGCATATATATTCAGCATCCATCCATTCTTAATCCTAATTCTCACTGTTTGTCACACACATTTCTTAAGTAGCTCATCCCTGCTGCATCCAATTTGCTTCATTTCTTGGGAATATACCCAATTCTTCCTTCAGTATAACAAAATCGGTAATAATACACCCTTTTACTTAGCCATTTGCACTTCTTTTGAGAAACATTTAGTCCTCATAACAGACTACATGCTGTCCACTTCCTCTTTCTCTGAGCAATTGCAACATCTTAAAATGCCTTTATTGTCTTATCTTTAATCAACATTTTATCGAAGTGTATACATTAATTCATCCATTTGTTCTAATTTTTCATTTTCAATTCACTGCACTTCCATTGTCAAACACAATTACTGGTGTTTTATATATTTCAGACCCACTTACCTTGTTACATCATACATTCTAACATTTCCTGGAGATCATTTTGTTTCTCAGCCAACAGATGGCATCACCTGCATGCAAAGTACAGGCACAATCATATCCCAACCTACATATCACTAATATCACTGCAAGTATCCAATATGCTGTATATTTATCGATAAATACCTTAAGCAAAGGGACTTCATAAACCCTTGGCTTAACAGATAACAGATAATCAGAGTTGGAAGGGACCTTGTAGGTTCTAGTCCAACCCCCCGCCCAAGCAGGAGACCCTACACCATTTTTGACAAATGGCAGTCCAATCTCTTCTTGAAAGTCTCAAGTGATGGCGCTCCCACAACTTCCGAGGGCAAGCTGTTCCATTGGTTGATTGTTCTGTCAGAAAATTTCTCCTGATTTCCAGGTTAAATCTCTCCTTGTTCAGTTTCCATCCATTATTCCTTGTCTGGCCTACAGGTGCTTTGGAAAATAGCTTGATCCCTTCCTCCCTGTGGCAGCCCCTCAAATATTGGGAGACCGCTATCATGTCTCCCCTGGTCCTTCTCTTTACTAGACTAGCCAAGCCCAGTTCCTGCAACCATTCATTGTATGTTTTAACCTCCAGTCCCCTAATCATCCTGATTGTTCTTCTCTGTACTTTTTCTAGAGTCTCAACATTTTTTTTATAATGTGGTGAACAAAACTGGATGCAGTACTCTTGGTGTGATCTTACTAAGGCTTTATAGAGTGGTATTAGTACTTCCCTTGATCTTGATTGTATCCGTTAATACAATTTAGGATTGCATTAGCTTTTTTGGCTGCTGCTGCACACTGCTGGCTCATATTTACCTGGTTGTCCACTAAGACTCCAAGATCTCTCTCTCAGTTACTGCTATTGAGCTAGTTTATTCCTGGCTCACTCCTGGGCTATTCATAACATTACATTTGACTATGTTTTTTCACAAATCCTGTACTTCCAATGCATATAGCTGCATTTCAACATTCAATTCCATGTTTTTGCAAACCATTCCATAATTTAATAGAATGGAGATGTTTAACAGCTGAAATTTATATTTCTACTATGTAGCATTTTTTTGTTACCAGAAGTGATTCATCACGAACACATTACACTCCACCTAACAGTGTAGAACAAGGGTGTCAAACTCACGGCCCGCAGGCTGGATGCATCATGCACTGGCCAGGCCCACCCCTGGTTTAGCAAAGGGGGTGGAGGAAGTTGTGCTATGTCACGTGACATGTGGTCACAAATTTGACATCCCTGGTATAGCATACTTCCTACATATCTATTACCAATGTGGCTCCAACATCATTCAATGAAGAGTTCCTGGAACCTGAATCCTTGCAGGGATTTTATCCACTTCAGTTAACCTTATAAATCCATAACCTCTGTGGATTTTGATTGCTTTTTTCATGGTGAACATAATGAGAGAAACCTCAAGTGGGATGCATAATGTTCACTCAGATCTGAATGACATGGTGTTAAGTAGCTCTCCTCCCTGCTCTTAAGTTACTATTAGAATTAATGTTAATTAGATTTGATAACTTTAAAGAAAGTTGGTCTCCCTCTTGTGCATTTCTTCCAATATGGCAATACCCCTTGTGATTCACAGGAGAATAATTTCCTGATTTTTTTTTAAATGTCAGCAATATTCCTTGTGATTATGCAGTAAAGATAAAGAATAAATGTAATGATTTAGATTGGATAAACAGACATCTACAGTAAAATTTATGATGCTATGACAGATGAATCAAATAAAAAATATTCCAAAATGCAAAATAATAAGAAAACAAAATGTCTATCTGCTGACAAGCTTAAGAAGGAAGCAAGCAAGCAAATTAGCAACAGATGAAAATTTGTTCATCTTAATATGGGTTTCCAGAGAACAATAAAAAGGGTTTATATTTAAAGAAGTAGTGCAAAGAAATGTTGAGATCATAATCAAATGGAAGGGATAAGATATTTATTTAGAAATCAAGGATTGGCAGAAAAAAGAAAGTAAAGCAAAGATTTAATGGAAAAAATATATAAAACAATGGTACAAACATATGGAATAACTGCACAGATAATTCTTGGATTACAATGGCAACTGGCACTAGAACTTGTCGCTAAGTGATACAATCATAAAAAAGTGATGTGACCACATTACTTAGCAACAACAGTCCCGGCAGTCCTGGTTGCTGTCATAACTCTGGGACTGTGCAGATCATTAAATGGGCAGAGGCAGGAGTCCTAGGCAAGCAAGCCAGTGGGTAAGAGCTATGGGAGGAAGACTACCACAGGCAGGCACCAGGGAGGATCGAGGGGGCTGCAAGTGGCACTCATAATTTGATCATGTGAGCACAGGGGTGTAGCAACAGCCAAATTTCAGACAAGTCATTAGGTCTGTTTTTAAGCACCATAACTTTGAATGATCATTGAGCAAATGGATTTAATCCTGGGACTACCTCTACCAAAAAAATTAAAAAAAAAATCCTTAAACAAATTACATATAAAGTTTGCTTACTGGAGTTGTCATAGGCATTTCTGGTAAGTGAAATATTGCAACAAAAAAGGCTACAGGAGTTGATGAAATGTCAACTGCTTAAAGCCTTGCAACATTGGTTACCAGTGGTTTGTTAGCAGTTACGGAAAACACAGCAGTGTGTAAGAGAACTCCATACTAGAGCTCAGATTTCAAAATAATTGCGCTTATCCCATGCTAGAAAAATAACGCTCAAGATTTCATAGAATCATAGGGTTGAAAGGGAACTTCGACCCTTTGCCCAAATCATACCATTTCGGACAAATGGTTATCTAATGATTTCTTGAAAATCTCAGTATCCACTGTTTAATAGTTCTCATTGTCAGGAAATGTGCTTCTTGTCTTACCTGAGGTGCTATGGAGAATAAATCAATGACCTCCTCTCTGTGGCAGCCCTTCAAGTTTTGGAAGATTGCTATCATGACTCCCTTCAGTTTCTCTCCATTAAGCTAAACATGTATTTTAGCCATTCTTCATTGGCTTGTGTCCACATACCTTATAATATCTGCTGCTCTTCTCTGCATACTCTTGAGGGTCTTTTTTTTTTTTTTTTGTATTGTGGTGACCAGCCCTCCAAACAATATTTCAAATGTGGCCTCACAAGTGTCAGCTATTCTGGATACTTACTAATAAGGGCATGGAAGGTGTAGAGTTCCTATGACCGTATCATAGTAGGATTCACTATAATGCAGGCAAGGGTAATTGAATAAAGACTTTTAGATTTCAAAAGCGCTGACATCAACAAGTTTAAGAGAAAAAATAGGAACGTTTCTATGAAATATGCCAGAAAATAACAAAAATAAAAGTTTCTTTTGAGGAGCAAAAGGAAAATCTAAGAAATGGTTGGCCTGCTAATGGGAGAAGATGGCAAGGTAAAGGCCAGAAGGGTGGAAGCAGAATTGCTCGTTTCCTTTTTTGCAGTTGTCTTTAATTTAAAAAAAGGTCCAACTTGTCAAAAACAGCACTGTGGGAGACAGAAGAGGAACTCAGTTTAAGACAGGTAAGGAATTGGTTAGAGAATTCCTAGCTGCTCTGAATGAGTTCAAATCTCCTGGACTGGATGGTTTATACCTTAGGACAGTGGCCCCCAACCTTTTTTGTCCCACGGACCGGTACCGGCATCACAAAATGATCCACGGACCGGTACCGGCATCAGCACGCACGACCAAGGCAAGGCGAGCCGAGCAACCGGCCAGCCAGCCGTCCCCCGCTTCTCCCCGCCCTCTTCAACTCCTCCTTTGTACCTTTGTCAATGGGCTTTTCGGGCTCTTTCTTAATTTCCTCCTAACGCGAGATTCTGCCGCCATCGGGACGGCTCTTCGTTCAAAGCCGCCCCCCCGACGAAACTAAGGCGCGAGGATTCCTTCAGCACCCAAACGCCGCTTTCCAACCGACAACTGACAAGCTCACCCGGAAGAACTTTCTCAAGCGCCGTCGAAACAAGATGGCGGCGCCCACTTCTTTGCGGCCCGGTAAAAAATGATCCACAGACCGGTACCGGTCCGGGGATACTGAAGAGGCTGGCAAGTTCTTGACAAACTAACAACTTTCATTATCCAAAAGGTGGAGGAGGAGGGAACAAGTTGTCAGGAACCTGTTCAATCTCCCACTGCAGAGTTAGTTTCCTACTTGATATCAAAGTAATTAAAGTCCCCCATTACTATACTGGTTTTTCCTCAATGCAGTTGATTTACAGAAAGTTCATCTATTTCCTCTGCTTTGTAATGTGGCCTGTAGTACACTCTTGTAGCAAGGTCCTCTCCTCCTCCCGTTATATTTATCCACATACTTTCAAGAAGCCTTTCATGGCTGGCATCATGTATTTCTCTACAAGTGCAGTAATTCTTTGCATGTAATACAATTCCTACTCTTTTGATGGGTCTGTTTCTTTTGAACAAGTTCTATCCTTCTAGTAATACAAACTAGCAATTCTTAAAACTTACATTTAAGAATCATCCATCTCCCTTGCAGAAGAACTCTGGGCAGTATACAATAAAATACTGAAAGCATAAAAACAGTATATAAAATTTACAAAAGGTAAGGAATGTTAAAATTGATTAAAATATGAGAGGCCTTCAGGGCACTAACTAGCCCCACAGCAGCAACATCTTCTATATGCCCAAAGCAAGGCCTCAGAGCTATGTTTTTTCGACTTTCCCAATTATTCTACAGTTGAAATTCTAAAAACGGTATTATGAATTTGGTATTATTACTATAACATGAAGAAACGGACACTTTAATAACATTTTTCATATGCTCTTTAAAAGCAAAATAAACTTATTCATAATTTCCCCTTTCAATAGCTATTTTAAAGGAATTCAGCCTGATTATTAAACGGATCAGAAATCCACTTGAACTGGATTCATTGTTTATTTTATTCTGTTCCTCCAGTGACAAAAAGGTGCACATTCTTGGACGACTGAAGCATTTGGGCTGCCCGCTCAACACCCACCACGGCAGCCAACTTCTGGGCATCATATTTGGAGTAAAATGCAGTACAAGTCAAGGTAGCCTCTCCCTCCATGCCTGCTAATTTTACCATATTGCAGATCTCACTATAGAAATGTGGATAGGTTGGCAGTTCATAAAAAATAAAGTTCTTGATGCCTCTAATGGAATACCTGAAAAACAACCAATATAATTAATACATAATTCCTCAAAACTATAAGCATTACTTTTTTTCCTAGAATTTAAAATAACTGCCCCTTAAATTAAAAAGATCAGAGGTCACAATGCCAAATCCAGCCTTTTAAAAAAAATCACAAACTCTCTTTCCCTCCTCATTCCTAACTAATATTTTGTTTACAATTCATTTTAGCATTAAGAAAGTTAAAGATACAAAAATAGAACTATACTCTAAATATTGGCAAGATTGGGCAACCTGAAAACTGTGGAACTCTTGTCATCTTTTCCAGATAAATCCTGCTGCCAAAAAACACCAAAATATTGTCAAGCTATATATTTCTTCATCTTTTTTCAAAATAAAAGCGAAATAACTGTTGCAAGTCTCCACTAGGCTTCACTTTTACCACTTTGCCATTAGATTCCCCAAACACATTCAAAATAGTCAAATTTGCCCCTGCTTTCTGCAGAGACGAAGCTACCATTTTCTATAGTTCTAACAGCTATTGTTACCTCAACAAGTTTTGGGCCCACATGGTCTTTATCTTTGCCATGTAATTTATTCCATACCAGAACTGAGTCTATATTCTGTAACATAGGCTTATATCAAAACCAGTTTCTTCTCTTCCATCCAAATCTATTGATATGCATAGCGTCCTCAACATTTCCTCAATTACCCATCCTCTGAGAGCCAGCAAGACAGTCATCTCTGGGTTCCTTCCACAAGATAGTGCTATCTAGCAGGACATAGGAGTAGGTACTTTTCTGCCATGGAGCCCACTTTTTAAAATATCTCCCTCTCCTCGTTGACCACAAGGCATTAAAAAATTGCCTTTACTATCAAGTCTGGGGCCCTAATAGTGTGGATGAGCCTACTGTCTGGTTATACTGATTGTGCAGTGTTTGGTTATTCTCAGCTGTTATTTTATGGTGTCTTATGTTATTTATACTTTAATAATTGGTTATGTTTTTATTTTATTAGCTGCCTGCATATGACATGCGTATGAGATGGGTGAACATATAAATATATTAAACAAATAAACTAAAACATGCTATGCTATGTGGTCAAACAATAAGGTTTCATTTCCATTTAGGAAAGAAAACAATTCTCAACTTATGATTGTATGTTTGTCACTAGAGAATTTAGGACTAAGAAATTCCCAGGATTTAATTAGTCTCAAACATGCTGTCCACGTGCTCTGCCATTTTCAACAGACTGGTTCAGAAAGTGACAAATATGTAATATGTCACAGAATAACACTTTCTCATCTTCATGATTCACAAATCTCCTTAGCAAGCTGACATCCATCTAATTTACAATGTTGGTTCAAGACATAAAAATGAATCACACAGTGCATTTTTATCGGCAATAATTTCTAGACTATATTTTGTTTAGCACTGAAAAGAAAAAAAGGAAGATTTATATCTAAGAAATATTAGCTTTTAATACATTAAGAATTGAAACTGACTGTAGAGCCTTTGGGAAGTTGTCTATTCTTGCCATATAAATAAGAGAGAAATAATATGACAATTTATTTAAAGCAAGTATAACTACACTTTCCCACTTTCCTCTTATTCTGAAAGAATAGACACTATTTCAATGAAACTCACCTTTTATAAAATTGGAATCGCTCTGTGATAATTAGAAATTGTTTTTCTCCACTTAAGAATAAATGTCTTGCCCTACAAATGCCAGATTTACTGGAGTATTCACAAATGTGTGCAAAATTGAGTTCTTCCTTCTTGAAATAATTCCGAAGCCGCACATAATCAAAATAGGATGGAACATAGATGAGTGTGTGTGTCATGATTGCATCCCGGTACTCAGGTAACACTTTGTCAATGAAAAAGTTAAACCTGGTCAAGAAACACAAATGTTGATACGCCGTTATCAACTCATAAAGCATTTCTGACAGCTGTTTGATTTCAAAATTGAACTTCCCAACTTCTAATTCATATGTAATTTTCAGAAATCTCAACCATAAGTACCAAAGCAAATCTCAATTTAACTGGAGAGTATCAGACTGGAGAAAAAGCAGATCAAATATGGAACAAATGCCAAATATTTTAATGTCCACCTATTGTTATACATCAAGTCTCTCACTTTTCTTCAAGAGGTAACTGCGCAGAAAAAAATGCTCTGGTATGGGGAAAATTCTGTTCAGGTTTTTTCACATTTCCCAAATTCCCTCAGTTGACATTCATTGTCCACTATGCAAGCCCCATTCTCATGAGCTACTGAAGACAGAAGGATCCTGCTTTAGAATTTTTTAACTAGTTTTTCTTTTTACTAATGCAAAATTTAACCCATCCACCCCGGTACCTGCTAACACCCTCACTCTTCAATATGTGAATGGCCTATTTTTTGTGTTAGAAATCATTCTTCCTATACAAGACAGTTTATTATTATGTAGCCCAGCAGCATTCAATACAAGCAATCCAGACCTTTATATTAAAACATCAATATTCTTGCACCCCCAGCAAATGTGTAGCTGCCAGCCATAGTCCAGAGCATTAAAGAAGTACATACCTTGCATCTATTACAGAAACAGAGCTGTCAGCTTCTATTTTCCGAAAAACATGAGGAAGCTGTACTACAACATGACTAATTGACCCTGTCAAGGGTGCATTCCTTACAGCTACCTGCAAGACACAATTGAAACAGTGAGATAAAAGTAACATTAGATTGGAGCGTTACATCCAAATATTCAGTCAAAAAAATAAGAAATGGTTTGATAGACTAATCTAATTTAGAAACTGGCATCTAACAATGACTTGTTAGATCTCTTAGAAGCAAGCCAGCAAGATATGGTAAGGGTGATAGCCAGTTATCTGGTATTAAGATTTATTACTGCTTATGAACATTGGAGTCTTTACTGAATTGCCATGAATGTTAATTACTAATTCTTTATAATTCTCTTTGTCAAATCTCTTTACTACCTTTCCCATTTATAATGAAGTACAGCATTAAAAAACCTGATCAATAATTATTTACTAGGTGGGAATTTTAGCAGCCAATGTCATACGGATCTGAAGACCATTAGGTAGGAAATACTGCTTTACATAATCCTCAATAGTAGGCATGGCTTCAAATTTCATTACTTCTCCCTCCTAAGATAAGTGGAAAGAGATTTTCTTTGTGTTTCTATTTTGCTTGTAGTACTAAACTACTTGAAATATTATAGTAGTTAATGTTTTTTACATCCCTATTTGATTCACACCCTAGCCAGTGTCTCTTTTCACTTTTACCATTGGGCAAAAGACACAGAAGTTATAGCCAGCTGGACAAATAGGTTTAAAAACAGCTTCTACCCATGGGCTGTCAGACTCCTAAATACAATATAGCACCACAAACAGATTAATATGATGAATTGCACTGATGCCAGTGTAGTATGTAATATGTATATACCATGATGTAAGATCATACACCAGAGTAATATACATGTTGCACAGAATATGACGTAAATATGGAACCATATGACTAGTTTCCCCCCCCCCCCCCAACTACTTGTATAAAGATTATTCTTGTATTATTCATGTTATCTTGTATTCTTGTATGGACTGCGCCAGTAGAGGCTAAACCAATTTCATTGTATACATGACAACAAAGGTTTTGAACTTCATTTAGCAGCTATTTTTCCACTGTGAGAAGATGCCAAAACAAGTAAGTTATGTTGCACAATATGTAAATGGAATTTATTGTTCTCCGATGTGGTGACAGCAATCAATTTAGTTGTTGTTAAAAAGAGTTCTGCTCAAATCAGGAAGAAATGATCTATCATATATCATCAATCAGCACAATGGCATTTGTTAAATATCAGGCATAGGGAGTAACGAAGAAAGTGGGCTATCACGTATTTTATTAATATGTGTGGTCTGGCTGAATGTATACGAGTTATCATTATGGGATACAGAAATTCAATAAAAGGGCTCTTTCTGGTCTCCTACAGTGAGCTGCTGCAACCTGTCAGAACTGCTTTCCTCTCCACAGATACTTTTGTTGTCTCCATTTGCCAAATTTGGGTGGAAAAGTGTAAATATGGTTTATAAGTGTAGAATAATTATTTGATCTCAAGGGCACTACTTGTGATCCTTATTATACACAAAGGTTTGTTTTATAAAAGAAAGTTGGATTGTTGAACCAGGATATTTGTGATAAGAAAGGATACATAAAACCTATGTACAATAAATATTTTATAGACAGTAAATCATAAATATCACAAAAGTCAGTATCAGTTTAGCAACACAAGATAAAAGTAGCCATTAATAGAAAGTTCAGATTGCTTGGGAACATTACACCATGTGAAATACAATGTATTCACATCTCTGCAGTTTTCTTGGCAAGTTATCAGAAGTGGTTTGCCATTGTTTTCTTCCTAGGCTGAGCATGTGGGACTGGCCCAAGATCCCCCAACTGGCTTTGTCCCTATGGTGGGATCCATTTCTAGCCTGGTGTCTTTTATCCTACACCAAACTAAGTTTCAGAAAGTTTTATACTGGTCTGAACATTTCTTATTACTACTTCCACTTTGAACAATACTTAATGGTTATAATGAGAGCCCAACATATACTCTTCCAAACACTTCAATGGCCATGTTATATCAGTGAACTAACCTGCCCCCTGTAATTGAAGCAATGCTTATTGAAGATAGAACTGATCTGAGGATGATGGAGGGCACTGAAGAGAAGTGTCTGGCGATAATACTTGGACCAGTTATTCAGACTGAACATTCGTACTCGTGAAAAATCCACCCCATGAGATTCCAAAGGTAATAGGTTCATGTGGTTAATCAGGTGCTGCAAGCAGAATAATGGTTAAAACATAGTAAAAATGTATCATTGTATTTCAGTGTACAGAAAAAGGAAAACAAAGAACCTCTCCCAAAGTCTATGTATTGCATGAAAGAGAAAAACAATCTGAATAGTTATTTGGCATATTAAACTTGATAAGCACACCAACTGCTTCAATTCTTTAGACTTCATCAACTACTGCAAAAAGTTTTTAATTTTTTTCCCTCAGACTTTACTTAATCAACACCAAAGACGGCATCTAAAAGATTAAAGACGTCTATTGCTACAAAATATGCTAGTGTCTCGGTGTCGACAGTAATGTTTCTCAACCTTGACGATTTTTAAAATATATGGATTTCAACTTCCATAATTCCTCAAAAAGCTAGAAACACTATAGTCTACAGAAACATGATTTATGTTTAATGCAGTTTTGGAAAGCGCAACAAAAATATTTTAGCTGGTACTGTTGATTTTCAACCAATCAACAACAACCACCAAAAATCTAGAGTAAATAGGGAGAATAAAAAGCTTTTCCCATTTTTTCCATGTTTCCTATGATTTCAAGCAGTATTGTGCAGACCTCCTCTCAGTCCCCCATGAAAGCACTCCCTATAATTTTCTAGGACAAAAGCTTTCAGCAATGCTTATCATTAAGAATATATGCATTTTCAGAAAAAAAAACATTAAGGAACATTTCATTCAAATGAAAAACAGTTAAAAGATCTAAAATCTACCCTCTGTGTGAGGCATTTCATATCTGGTTGTTATAGTTACACAGCATGTTCTGGTTTTTAAGAAGTGAAAAGGGATTACCAAAACATGTTCCCAGTTTTGCATCAGGTAAATGTCAGCTTCATCAATTATAAGAATTTCTATTGAGGAGAGGAAATCATAGTCTCGCTTGTTCTCCCCTTCAGCTCCTATCACAGTTCTCAAACCAAGGGGAGAGGCAATAATAATGTCCGAGGAGTAAAATGGGGCATACAGCCGCATGCTCTTCTGAAGAACTGCAACACCTGCCCAGATGCAAGACACACATATCAGCCAGATTACATATTTAACCATTGCTTACAATATCCCATAAGAGTCAAGGGAAATTTCTGCATTTTATGATGGGCAAAAGAGACTCCAAAAGCTACCATAGGAACAGTCAATCTGAACCTGAGCAATTCCCACCTGCTCTGGGAAGAATGGCCTAATGAACTGAGGAAAGTATGTAAAATACCTGGAAGGTAGCAGGTGAATGCAGCCTCAATAAGCTACTGATTTACCCAATTAATCCCCCTTTAGGAATTTTACAGTGGATGAGCCATCTTTAAGGCAAAATGTTAAAATGAAGGTTATAATGAAGCCCTTTTAAGAATGACACAAAACTGGATTCACAAAGATTACTCCCCCAGAAAAATCCAACTAAAGAAAAAAAACCAACTGGATGCAGTCAAACATTATTTTAAACCATAATAAAAGCAGCTGGTGCATGCCAGTCATTCCGTCCTACTGTGAGGGTAGATTAACTCAAGCCATTTGAACATGAGATCAGAGACCAGATTTCTAAAATCTTGTTCAAAATTACCTATGTATTATGTATTAACATTTACCCAGATTTCATTTTAACTGTAACTTCTATTACTGTACCTACAAACAAAATACCAAGTAGAAACAATCTGTACGAGCAGAGTACAAACTATAAAACTGTAACCACAGCAGTATCAAAAAGATATCAAAATATTAAACGTTACCTATCCTGAAGTGGTCATCAATGTTTCCAGCAAAGGTGGCTTCATAATCTTCAGGCCTTTTCAGATTTGGCGGCTTCTCTTCTGGGCTGGAACCAAATTCGCCCTTAAATCGTTTTTTATTACTTACATCAATTTTCTTTTGACTTGCCAATTCAAGGAGGGCAATTAAAATATGGACTACACGTAAAGCAGATTCTCGGAAGGGGACCACCATCAATACCTTGTCAGGAAAATGTAAATTCAATTATTGTATTATTTAAATGCATGATGTTTTCTTAACTTTGGGGGTGGGGGCAGTTAGGAGAAACTTTAAAAATTCTTATCTATCACTTTCATTTTTAAAAAAAGCACTGTATTCTTATTTAGTGTGATCTGCAAGGACACTGCAAGTCTATTGAGTTGGCTGCACTTTCAGCTACCTGCAGTGGAGACTCTCATTTTAAGATATTGATAAAGGTATGGTTTACAGGCGATGAACGTATTATATGTTATAATACGTATATATTTTATTTTTTTTCACCTTTGGTCTAGTGAGACCTTGATCCCTGAAAGCATCCTCATCCATTCCAGCTTCTTGGTCTCGTCGCTTAGCATTGTTGCCAAGCACCTGTGTATTAGCCTTTAAGACGTGGTTCAAGGCATGTAGGCAATAGACATGCCTCACTTCTTCCCCATTTTTTAAAGCAGTCCTTCCGGGGTAAAACAAATCCTTGTATGAATTCATAATGCAGAACAGCTCTTGCTGCAGTGGGCTAAATAGCTGGCCTTTTGATTTTGTCTGAGCAGAAAGCAATTGTCTGTTCACTTTCGGCCAAGTTGACTTTAGTGGCTTGCAAAGATGAAGGTGTTCCAGATCAACTTCTTTACTTGGATTAATCACTCCAAATTTCTCCAACTTGGAAGAAAAAACTAATTGACCCAGTACTGGCCACTGACAAAAAAAGAAAAAGAAAAAATAATAATAACAAGGTAACAGAACTTCAGCTTAGCCTCTCCTGAATGATGAAATCCTGAACTGCATATACAAAAGCACACTATTCAGACTATCCACAAGGAGCGGTCCAAGATGTCAGCATAGCATCCACAACCAAGCATACAAAGTCCCACAACACATGCAAAAAGGGTGTTGTCCTCCCTGAAAGACACTCCTGAACCCATTCATCTCTTGCAATCTCCTGCATACTCAGAGTACACACTCTGAGCCGCAAAGCTGCAAAAGATGTTCAAAATAAGATGCCACATTATAACAATGTGGAAGAACAGGAACACTCACAAATCATAAGGGCAGTAATCATACCAGTTGTATTTAATACATTCTTCCCTCCATCCTGTCCCATCTATTTTTCTGGAACCAGCTTCAGCAGCCACTCAAAGAGCAACAGATCCTCCCTTGATTTTTGAGAAGGTTCAAGGATACATTACCTCAACTTGGCTGGTCAATTTTGAGCACACGCTTTTATCTATTTCTTCTTCTTCCAGCTCTTTATCCAGGTGGCATTTAAATGGATCTGTGTCAAGAAATAAAATATGTTTCTGACTAACTATTTCAGAAACTGAAATTAAAATTTAGTTTGCAAGCACTCAAAAGAAGGTATCAAGTGAAAAGATGATTAGATGATTCTATCAATTATTCCAAAGTATCAAATAGAAAATACAGTATATAGCGCAGGGCTTCATTATCGAACTAGGAACACCATCAGTGCGAGTGTGTGGTAAAGACCCCCCACACACACACACACATTGGCAGGATGAGCTACTGTTTATAAACAGGGAGCAAACCCTGAGCTTGAAAAAGTATTGAGTGTGATCCCTTGAACAGAAATCCTCAAATTAAAGGGAACACAAGAGAGTTCGCAATTTCTCGAAATAAGATACTGAAGTATGCACCATACCAAAGAGGAAACAAAACAAACAAGTGTCAGTTTAGCAAACCTTGTGGTTGTATATGAGATTTTCAATTGAGCTAAGAGTTAAAAGGGATATGTAAAAAAAACAAAACAGAAGATGGGGATAATTATCAAGTAGGTGATTGTGGGTAGAACCATCAGCTGAAGGGGAGGGGACCCACCAAGGTGAGTAAAGAGATATTCCAACTTAGAGCTGTTTGGGGGAGGAAATGTCTGAGAAAAAATTCTCAGGTTTATATCTGCCGTTTCTCAAGGGAAGGCAGAAAGTCTGACAAGATTCTTGTAATGTAGATGATCAACAATAAAATATTTGTTTGGATCTCGCCATGAGTGGTTCTTGTTACTTATGCTAAACAGTGTCTCAGTAAATAGCTAATAAAAGAGAATGTTGGAAAGGCTAACATACAAAGGGAGTTTAGGCTCTCGAGTGAAGCTAAAAGCAACAAAAAGGGTTTATTGGCTATATCAGTAGTAAAAGAAAGAGGTGGACCCACTGTTAGAAGATAACAGAATTTTGACAAGGTGAGAGAAGGCAGAGCTCAACTCTTACTTTGCCTTTGCCTCTCCCAATTGTAGTAAAATATAAAAAGCTGACGGACTGACAAAAACAGTAACCCGAGGTAAATAAAGAGATTGTTAGGGATGTCTGGTTTCTATGAACAAGTTTAGTCTCAGGGACCAGACTACTTAGTAAATGTTTAAGCTCCAATTCATACATTGCAAAATCCTGATTTAAGAAATACACAAGTCAATTTACAAACGGTCCTCCTTCCTTTGTTTGTTTTTTTAAAAATCAAAGACAATTATGACATTACCATGTGTTACTTTTGCAGAAGGTGTTCTCTTTTTGATATCTGTAGTGGAATCACCACGTTCTTCATCTATAAAATTGGATTCCAGATTAAATTCAAGTTCAAGCTGGACATCTGTACACTCTTCAGCAGCTTCACACTGTAAGTCCTGAAGAGCATCTGAATCTGTAGGCTCCTCTTCACTATTTTCCACTAGGGATGTTTCTTTATTGAGAACAAACAAAAAGAGAAAGAGAAATAAGTTGCCTTTGTTCAAGAGCCAATGTCCATGATTGGTTTGAGATCAGCAACTTGAGGTTCATTTTAGAAAGAAAGTGTAAACTTCCATTTAATCTTAAATTATTAGTTGGGAGCCAATTACAATAAATGAATACAACATATTAATGTGAAGAATTCTTAAGAGTCTTTTCCTCTAAGAAAGTATGCCCCTCTTTGTTTTCTGCCTCCTTTCCTTTAGATCAGTGGTGTCAAACTCAATTTCATTTGAGGGTTGCATCAGGGTTGTGTTTGATCTTGGAAGGGCTGGGTGGACGTGGCCAGGGTGGGCATCGTCAGCTTGATATCACACGTGTTGGGGTTGTCCGGGCAGGGATGGGGGATCCATTGTCTCCAGCGGAGAAAGGCAAGACCAGGGAGAGCACCAAACAATGAGCTCCTGCAGCCCTCTGCCAGTGAAAACAAAGCTCATGGCCCTCCCAAGTTCTGTTTTCGCTGGCAGGGGCATTGCGGGCCAGTACTTCACTGTTTCTGGGGAAGGCCAGTGGGCCAGATCTAAGCACCCCCCAGGCCGGATCCAGCCCTGGGCCTTGAGTTTGACACCCCTGCTTTACATCAATGTTCATCAATGGAGAGATAAAAGATAAATTGAACCACATCTCCCAGTATTCCAAACATAGTAATTATTTCCCTTATAGGCTCTGGAAGATAAGAACTATAGTCCAACACAAAGAACTAGGCTATACAGATTGTATTCAGATTAACTAAAGCTATTAAGACTTGTCTATGGAGATTCTCAATCAACCAGGTCATGATTGTCCCAAAAGTGCTTTCTCAAAAGGCAATTGGGAAAAACAAAGTCCAGTTGCCTTTCAAAAAGCACCTTTGGGTTATCAAACTTGGGATGCAAAAGTCCAAATAATCACTGCATGGGATGAAAGAGTTAAAGTTTTCTGTATGCCTTAGCTGCCATCTAATGAATTTTAAAGCCCTAACAACTAGAAATAAACAGTGATTGAATCTGTTTTATTATTATTATTATTGTATATAGGGCTATCCAATGATTATTAGATGGGAATAACAAATACTAAGAATCTCTTTTTATCAACTAACAGTCATCCATATTTTTGTACCACAGATCTCATAGTCCTATTATTACATCTACCTCCTAAATAATTTACTCAGTTTCTCCCTTTCAAGCTATTTTAGTGATAGGCACAAATATTAAAAAGTAAACCTTATTGAAAACATCGCAATTTAAGTATAAATATGCACTATATTGCAATGCTTATCTTAAAATACTAATTTCAATTTTCAATCCTTCAATCGGAGTATTGATAGGAAGAAGCCAATTCTTGCCTGCCTACTGGAATTTCTTGGAAATAAAGGCCTACTAGTAAGATTTAATAAAGTTGATTTATTTGGAAAAAATAACAATAGAAATCTAGGATACTTCATTATTCCCTATTCCAAGAATTTTCATATTAGCTGCAAGAAAACCCAGAACTTTCCTGTTCTTGCAATATTTCATTTTTCTCTTAGAACGCATTGATCTGGGATGGTTAATCCCTTTACAGAAATAAATATGTTAAAATAGAAAATGTTCTTATGCATCCATTTGGAATCCTTTAAAACCACCATATATAACAAAACAAAACAAACAAGAATACCTGTTTCTTGGTGAGGCACTTTTATTTCGTTGTCGTCATTCTCCGTTTCTTTCTCATCCCCAAGCTCGTCACTGTCCACTTCTGTATCTTCTTGGGAACTATCTTCTGATTCATCTCCTTCATCCTCATTGTCTGAACAGAGAGATGTTTTTAACATGGCCAGTAGTTTGTGATACACTGGGATTTGTTCTGAATCACTCTCCGCATCATTTTCTGAGCTGGACTGCTCAGAATTTTCATTCTAATAATGGAAATGGAAAAGTATTCCAGTACATACACTAGACAACATAAACACAAGACATTCTATGCAGGTTCAGAGTATTAGTAGACTATGCTAGAGGTAGATAATCTGTAGCGTTCCAGACGTTGATTAAATTCAGCTTTCAGCTGTAATACTTGCCAATGGCCAATTATGAAAGATGCTGGGAGGCAATGTTTGGCTTTTGCCAAGCAATTTCAAAACATTCTCTAGTACAGAGAATTTGCAGGTCAAATCAACTTTTTTCTTCATTGACTATGATAATACTGAGCCTAGACCATTATGCACAAGCTCAACCTTCCTGAAGCAAGTACCCTCAAATCTACTGCTTATTCCTGAAATCCCCAGACAATATGAGAATAATGGAACTGTTCTCCAAGAATGCACTTAGACAAAAATAGGCAAATCTGTTTGTAACTATTATTTTTAAATTGTCATCGGTAAGTCTATAGCTAATAAATCAGCATCTCTTTTCTGCTGCCACAAAAACAGTTTTCTCCATTTAGTAAAGTTATTTTCATTTATGTTAAAATACAATTTTTAAAAATTGTTAAAATTTAAAATGATAAAAAATATAAACTTCAAAGTTATTCTGGAACTCCAGGATGTAAAACCCTGATTATAGCAAATGCTGCTGAGAGGGGAGTGGAAATGCCATTTGGAATTTGCTGCATTATTAATACAATAAAAATACAAAACTGTAAAAAATATTGCAATTTACAATGCAATTAAAAAGATTTTGCCATCTGGCATGAAGGCAACAAAAGCAAAGAAAACACTGGGAACCTTTTACTTCATTAATTGCAAATCTTATTTACAAAATTAGCCAAATAGTGTGTATTGTAAGTTTCTTATTATTTTCATTCATTAGTAATATAATAAAACAGGGAAATATGATAAAAGATACCAATATTCCTACCAGTTCACAAATCTGAGTTGGTTTTTCTTTCCCAGAAACCCTGAAAAGAAATAATTTAAATTACTTCCATTTCACTACCTGATAAACCTAAAAATACCACAGATCATAATAACTGAAATAACTAAAAGAATGCATATTTTAGCAAATGAAGGAATTAATACCATTGAAATGCATAATGCTGTATTATATGGTTTTATCTTCTGACTGAACAACAATGGCCTTCAAAGTATGGGAGATCCTTTCTATTTGTTGTGATGTCCACTTACGTAATTCTACTATATGGTTCATTCACAGATGCTGTTTGTTATGGAACAAAGATGTCCAACTAACCATTTGAAAAAAAACTTATTATCACAATATTACCACCAGCTCATCTCTAGCTGTTGCTGAATTAATCTGAAATTGGCTTCACATGTTCTGGTATGAAAATGACACAAAACTTCTCAAGCAGACAATTCATTGAGAAGGAGCTTCAGGAAGACATGATCAGGGTCAGCAACTTGCTGACTCCCAAGTGACCAGAACATTTGATGCCCCTTTCCTTCCAATTTATCATATTTATATAGGATATGATTACGACTCTGGGCAATGTACAATACTTAAAACAACCCAGTTCTGGGCATTGCACCTCAATGGTTATTTCATCAGTGTCAGTGAGCTTGATAAGTTTTATTTCCTGGCAAGAATTATTGGGATTAAGACAAACATAATGCTTCTAATGCTTTCTCAAAACGTTAGAAATACACAAAACACCTGAACAAAAAGATAGTGGTATGAATGCCCTATAACAAAGAACCAACGCTTTGATCATATATTTTCAACAGCCTCTCCCCTTGAATCAATCTACTTCTGCAAAGGTGCACCACTACTTGCCAACCTTCTCAACTACCTTCAAGAGCACAAGCTGAGACCTGGGAAATCAGATTTATATGGTCAGGGTTATATGGTTCCTTAGTAGCCTGCTGCAGTCTGGTGATAAAGAGATACGGTTCAACTTCCAATGCAGTTGGTTTTGGGGCAGAGAAGGAAGTGTGGTGGGTGGGTGGTCTATGAAATTAAGGATATCTTGGCCTTCATTTCATAGAGTATTCTCAATTCCCCCCCCCCTATATATATCTCAAATTTTATTTAGAGTATACTTGCAAGTATCATTCAACAATAAAAGGGAGTTTATTGTTTTGTAAACAAATATATTAAATAAAAGAGTCCAGGGCTCTTTGGGGTTATAAAGTGCACTTATGTTTTCCTTAGCCTACCCTACACAATATGCTGGCATTTTATGCCTACCTGAACTAAGCCATTCATGGGTCCACAACTAGCAGAGATTTCTGCCGACAATGAGCCGCAGGAATATAAATAGAAGAGGGAAAGAAGCAGGCAGACAATAAAACAGGGAAGGAAAGGTATCCTCGTCCATTCAGGTACCAAACGCCTTGCTACTCGGAAGAAACTCACGAAAGCCCTGCCTGCTCCTTTGACAGATGAGGCTGCGGAATGGAGAAAGGGAACGTACGTAACCCAATGGGCACAAATAAAGACTCCGGAGAAAGGATGCAACGGGCGCCGTCAGCTCTCGGCTCAGAGGCAATTTTACAACCCGGCTTACCGATCATAAAAGGGGTGCTCTTCCCCAAAATCCTTGAGGTGCTTCTTTTGCTTCTTGCTTAAGTGGCCGATCAGCTGCTGGCGCTGCCGGCGAGCTTTCCTCTTCCCCATCTCTGCAAACTTCCTACTCCGGCTCCCACGTGGTTCCCTTGCTCGAGCCTTTTACGGCCCAAGCCACGCAGAATCACGTCCTCTTGCGACAGACTCCTCCCGAGATTTGGTTGCCATAGCGTAGAAGAACGCTCATGCTTGCTGGGGAATTCTGGGAATTGAAGTTCACGCGTTCATAAAGTCGTTAAGGCAGAGAAACACCGGTTCTCCTCCCACAACGACGACAATGGGAGGGAATTTCACTTGGGCCTTTCTCCAACAAGAATTGGGTTTTTTTTTTTCTTTTCAAAATGCTGTCTTTTATTAAATCCTTTTAATAACCTGTGATGTGCATTGGAAAAGCATGTATAGGGTTATGTTGTAAGTGGAAATCTGGTCCTACCCAGCGGAGCTCTGAGACTAAAATGAAAAAGCTGAATATTTCAGGGAATGCTGGCTATCTTATTACAAAGCTATATATGTTCTATGTGGACAGAATATATTAATTATTAACAGATGTTTGTGAGGAATGAACTTGTCCAAGAAGTTAATGCGCCTTTGGAATAGTGAGTGCTATTTTATATGTTACATGTGCTATTATGAGTGCTATTTTATATGATATTATGGCTGAAACATGATGGTTGCAGGAAGTGGTATGTCAAGTGTAAGGAAGAGAAGGACTAGTGGCGACTTGATAGTAGTTTTCCAATATTTGAGAGACTGTGACAAAGAAGAGAATAACTTATTCTCCAAAGCACCTGAGGGCAAAATAAGTAGCAGATGGAACTTATCAGAGATAATTTCCTTCTTAATCAGTGGAACAGATTGCCTTCAGAAGTTGTGGGTGTTCCAACACTAGAGGTTTCTAAGAAGAGATTGCAGTGTCATTTGTCTGGGTCTCCTGTTTGGGCAGGGGTTGGACTAGAAGACCTCAAAGGGGTCCCTTCCAACTGTTATTCTGTATATTACAAACAAAAATTTAGCTAGAAGTGGACTTCTGAAATAGTATAGGACAATGTTTTCCAGCCCCAAGTCTTGCAAGTTACTGAACAGCAACTTCCATAATTCTAAGCATTGTAATAGTAAATCTTGGTGCCTTTGAATTGTAATTGTATTCCAATGGTCTGAAGGGCATCAGATTAAGAGCCTTTTAATTCTAAAACAAATTAAGGATCCTTGTAGCATCCACCAGGTGCCAGGGAAATAGCAATCCAAGGATAGGAAAACCAAGTGTCCTACAGGGGGTAGTGCTCCTGGTGGATGATTAAGCCCCACCCTCTTTCTGGAATTGATGTTCTTTCAGAGACCAAGCACGATTTTGGAGTTTGGTTTGTAGGGTGAACTGCAAGAAAGGAAGCTTGCTTTCTCCTCCCACTTATTGCCATATCATTTCTGGTAGCGCACTGTCTCCTTTGGCAAGTATTGAGTGATTTGACTTTCTGTTATTTTTATTCTTTTGTATTTGGTTGCTGCCCATGGCTTAAACTTTATAAAACGGGAATTTTTTTGCTGATTAAATAATCCTTTAAACCAAGTATCTTTTTCTGATATTTTACCATACATTGTTTATCAAACTGCTTTTATATCCTACTGCAATTAAAATCACTATTGGAGATTTACTTATATAGGGAAAAAATCCATGCTATATCTAATTAAAAAGTACAACTGATTATATCATAAAACACATTAACATACATCAAGAGCTGATTTTGAATTATACCCTACAAAAAGCTGAATTTTCCTAAATGTGATCAGGGAACTGACATTTTCCTAAATGTGATCAGGAAACTACACATTTAGCCAAGAAACTACATCAATATAGTCAAGAATGTTTCCAAAGGTCAGCAGTGCTTCTAGTTTCATTCCCCCTTTAATTCCTGGATGTGAAAGAGTATGAATTGATTTTCTTGGAATGATTTTTTATGTTGCACCTATAGTTTGTGGAGCAAAACCAGCTGACTAGAAGCCAGCACAAGTTCCAAGACACACTTTAAAAACTGATGTCAGTTAACACATAGCTTCTTGCATTCTGGATCAATGGTAGCTTCTGCATGGTGTTTAAAGGCATCCCCACATAGAGTGTATCACTATTTATTAGTCGAATTTAGATTTTAGAGAAATCTATCAGCTTTCTATCATGGCTATTCTAAATGAGCTTTATGTTCTGCTTCCAAAGTTTACTTCCTATTTCTTGTATGTGGAAGGATGGCTGTACATTTTTAAATTAAATTTCAATCTTGCCTTTTGATTAATTCCAATTTAAAACAACTTTTATTTATTAATATTAAGATACAATTAATCATACAAAATATTATTCAGGAAACTGGAAACTAAACAGCAAATTAAATATTTGTATAAAACCCCAGATTTTTTGGCTTTTAATGGCTGAGTATAGAGGTTAATGAATATAATCATGGGTACAGAAAGTATGATATGGCCATTCCTTTCAGCAGAACTTAAATGATCCAGCATGTCAAATATATACAAATACTTCCATCCTCAGTTTCCTAAGAGTGTAAGTGAATCCTACAATTAATTTCCTATTGAAAATGCTCTAAATGTTTTCAAAAATATTATGTAAAATATTTCAGTTTATAGAGTTAGTGATAGAATATTACAAGTTTGATGGTTCTCTCTTCAAGGCATCTATATAGGAAAACAACTGGAGCAAATTATCATTTCAAATAATGTTGATAAACAATTTGGTATAATATTTGCTTTATTAATATACAGGGATACTATCATTTTCAGCCAAATTATGGTGCAGCTGAAATGTCTTTTTTTCTCTCCTTTGTTTCTAAAATGATAAGCTTTCGTTGCAAAGTTTGAAATACTTGTTTTGGTCACGTAAGTACCCTGATACAGGGCTCTTTCAAAATCGGTGTAAATTTTATAAAACAACTACGGTATTTCATGTTGATTTCCTAATTAACCCATAGGGAAATTATAAAAAAAGAGTCCAGGTTTCTATGATGTAATTGTGGTTTCTTCTACTTCAGGCAGGACATCCCAAACAGGTTTCTGAATATGATCAGGAAGTTTTTCTAATTTGGTCTAAAAACAATGGGAAATATATAGTTACATGCTTATGTTGGAATAGTTTGTATATTCTCTAGTTAAATTATGTAGGTTATTTTTTTAAACCCAACACAATGTGTGAAGAAGGTAGCAAAAGACTTCTGCTGTCTAATTAATATTAAAACTTAAGAATTCAACATCTTTTATATAAACAAGGAGAATGTTTTGTTTCCAAATCCAAAGCAAATCATCATGTTCTAGAAATTGATAGATACTCAACTTATAACCACAATTTGGACTGGAATTTCTGTCATAAGTTATTGTGATTGTAAGTCAAGTCAGATCCTGTTTTACAATGTTTACAATAATTAGTAAGGATTTCCAGTTTCCCCAATGGATATTTTCTCCCAGGATGCTGCAACAGATTGTGAATGCAAGTCAGTTATCAGGTACTTGGATTTGTGATCACATGACCGCAGAGGTGGTATGGCACTTGTAAGCGCAAGCATAGATCACTAGTCACTTTTTACAAGGACACTGTAGTTTTGAACCATGAATGGTCGTAAGTAGAAGACTACTTGTATGCACTGCCCCTCTCCCTGCAGCTCCTAGCCTAGTATAGCTTATCAATCTCCCAATCTTCCCACCATCTTCCTGGTCCCCTTACTTGTTTCTGCTGTTGTCTCAGCATTCTCCCATAGAGACACAGAACTGCTCCTATCCCCTGCCTTTCTTTACCTGTTGACAATCTTGTATTCCTGCCCCACACCCCATCATTTTTGCATGAAACAAAGCAGCTGTGTTATTGTGTGCACAGTGCTTCCAACACAAAAGCAAGTAATTGTGTATATGAAGAAAAACACTTCAGAACAGGCATGCTTTGGTTTGAATACAGGTCACTCCAAAACAACTGCTCCATGCTTAGAAGAGTTTGTGTATGAAACTTTTTGCACATCCCTAAAAACAGAACACAATTAGCAATACCTTTTTGACTTCCATGGCAACTCCTTCTGGTAGATTTCGCTGAATGTATTCCAAATAAACGTTGGCTGTGCTACCAGTTAAATTCTTTAACTGAAATAGAAAGCACTCTTATACTTTTCAGATAACAATAATCTGGGGAAAAATCTGCATGTACAGGTAGCATTAGGTAACAATTATAAATAGTGTCTGACTTAATAAGGCATTTCTCCTAGCTTGAATCACTCTATGTTTTCTTTCAGTTTACTTAAATTCAGAGTATCAAAATATAAAGCTTGATATCATAAGTTAACAAATACCGTGTTTCTCACAAAATAAGGCTGGGCCTTATTTTTTTTTGACTCCCGAAAAAACAGCGAGGCTGTGACTTAATTCCCCCCCTTGCATCCTCTGTCAGGCGGGTGGCGACGGCTTGGATGTTGACCTCAGCGTTGGTGGGGCACTTAGTCTCGGGAGACCTTCCGCCACCGTTGCTTTCCCTTCTCCCTGTGCTGCCGCAGCGTTTAGAGCAACACCGCAGCATTTAGCATAGCCACACGCGGCCAGCCAGGGCTCCTCCCTGCAACCTGAGCCTAGTGGAGACACGGCTTCAGGCGCTCCTGTCGCCGCCTTCCCGAGCATCGTTCGAAGGCAAAGCCTATTCTTTTAAAAATGACGGCCTACTATTAGTACAACAAAGCCTCCCCTGCCCAAGAGGGCAGCCCAACCCCACCTGGGGAGGCGAATCTCCTGGGGCCGCAGCACAGGATCGGCCCACCCCAGGAGAAGCACCCAGCTGCCATCCCTGCCTGGCGCCAGGCAGAATATGAAGAGCTTTGCCTGGGGCACCCAGCGCAGCTGACAGGCGGGCCCTCCTGCCGGCGGTGGAGCTCTCGCCAAGGCAGCGAGTGCCTCCCCGCCAGGCCCTCCACTCATCCCGCCAGGGCCACACCTGAGCCGGGCAGGCTGGGCAGAGCCGGGAAAGCGAGCCATGGGTGCGCGCCTGCCTGCCAAGCGAAAGAGCCGGGCCGCCCCGAGCTTGGCTTCCTTCCCAAGTCCCTCCAGCCTGAACCCGAAGGGGCCACCGGGAG